GTACCCCGCCCACGCCCAGCAAGCCCATCATGGCCAAGCCCGATGAGAATGGCCTGCCACCGTCCTCGGTGTTCGACGCCATTCCCTCCCGCTGATGAACCGCGAATCTCTGCTCTTGCAATGGTCCCAGCTGCGGCAGCAGTGGGACGAGTCCAACCTGCTGCGCATCGGCATCTGGCTGGCCGCACTGCTGGTGGCGCTCTATGGTCTGCTTGCAGGTTTCGATGCCGCTGACCGCCAGGTCGAGCGCAATCGCAGCCTGCAGGCCGAGGTCGCCCGTCTGGAGACGCTGGCCAAGGACGGCAACTGGACGCAGCGCAGCCAGGAGGTCGCCGGTCTGCGTGCGGCCTACGACACCGCCGTCTGGTCCGACCCCGACCTGGCGCTGACCGAGGCGGGTCTGCAGGACTGGCTGCGCAACACCGCGCAACGCCTGGGCCTGAAGGTGCGCGAGATCACGCTGGTGCGGGCCGAGACCGGCGCGAAGCCAGCCGACGACCTGCCGCCGGGTCATGTGTTGCTGAAGGCGCGCATGAGTGTCGAGGTGCAGCGCACGCCGCTGTTCACGCTGCTGGCCGAGATGGCGGCGCAGGAGCGTCGCATCGTCGTGGAGCGCTTCGCCATGAAGGGCACGCAGCAGCCGGCCATCGCCGAGATGGACCTGCGCGTCGTGGCGCGACCCGGGGCCAAGCCATGAACAAGTACGTGCCCTGGGCCGTCGTCGCGGCCGCGTTCGGTGCGGGCTGGCTGCTGGCGCCTGCGCCGTCTGCCGATGCGGCCCTCGTCAGCGCGCGCCGCGATGCCTGGCGCCTGCCCGATCTGCCCCGCCGGCCTGATCAGGCCGCCAAGGCCATCGGCCTCGCGTCCTCGCCGTTGTTCGAGGCCGAGGTGTCGCAGGCCGCCGCCGCCGCACCTGCCGAGGACAAGCGCTGGCGCGTCGCCGGCTTCTTCGGCCGCGGCGGCGAGCGCAAGGTGCTGATCAGTTTTGCCGCCGCCGGCAAGCCTGCCCAACGGCTGGCGGTGGGCGACAAGGTTCCCAGCGGTGAGCGCATCACCAAGATCGAAGACGGCGTGGTGCTGATCCGCGTCGGCAACAAACAGGTTCCGTTGGGAGCAGATTTCCGTGAGTGAACCCCAGATGTTTCATACCCTGCGCCCCACCACGCTCGCGGTCGGCACCTTGGCGGCGCTGCTCGCGCTGAGCGGCTGCGCGCCCCTCGTGCCGACCTTGCCCAAGCCGCTGCCAGTCGCCAGCATCGCCGGCGACACGAGCGCCAAGCCGGAGGTCACGGCGCGAGAGACCACCCGGGTCTCGCCTGGCCCGAAGGCGCCCGAAGTCGAGACGCCCTCGCTGGCGGTCACCGCACCCGTGGCGCAGCCCACGGACGAAGTGGTCGCTGCCGTCAACCTGCAGCAGGTGGCCTTGCCGACCTTCATTTCGGTCGTCTACGCCGATGTGCTGAAGAAGAACGTGAGCGTCGACCCGGCGGTCACGGCACGCCCGGACCTGGTCACGTTCAAGACCGGCAACGGCCAGACCGCGGCCCAGGTCGAGACCGCCGTGCGTCTGCTGCTGAAGAGCTATGGCCTGTCGGTCATCGAGGTGGGTGGACTGGTTCGCGTCGTGCCCGACAACGCCAGCCAGGGTGGCGATCTGCCGGGGCTCCGCTACGGTGCGGCGCTGCCGTCAGTGCCTGCGTCGCTGCGGCCGGTGTTCCAGCTCATCCCGCTGGAGGCGGTCCGCCAGGTTGACGTCACCGGCTGGCTGCGCACGCTCTTCGGGGATCGCATCCGGGTGCAGGAAGACTCCACCCGCAATGCGGTGCTGATCAGCGGCAACCCGGACAACGTGAGGGCGGCACTCGAGGCGCTCGCCGTGCTGGACCAGCCCGCGCTGAAGGGACGCACGAGCCTGACCCTGACGCCGGCGTTCTGGTCGGCCGAGGAACTCGCTCGCCGCCTCGGTGAAGTGCTGTCCGCCGAAGGCTATGCAGTCCACCCCGTCGGCTCACCCTTGACGCAGGGCGGCCTGCGCAACCCGATCGTGCTGCTGCCCGTGTCGAGCCTGAACCAGGTCTTCGTCTTCGCGGCCGGCGAGAAGGTGGCCGCGCACATCGCCGAATGGGCCAAGACGCTGGACAAGCCCAACGAACGGGGTGTCGGCAAGAACCTGTTCACCTACGCCGTCAAGCACAAGGACGCCGAACAGCTGGCCCAGACCCTGGACCGCGTGCTCGGCGGCGGTGGCACCACGGCGAGCACCACGCCCGCCGCGCCCGGTGCGGCCACCACCGCTGCCACGACGACGGCCAGCCGCCTGTCCAACGTCGTCGTCGACAAGGCCAGCAACACGCTGATCTTCCAGGTCAACCCTGAGGAATTCGGTCAGGTCTCGGCCTTGCTGCAGACCCTGGACAAGCCCACCAAGTCGGCGCTGATCGAAGTGACGGTGGCCGAGCTGCAGCTGGAGGACGGCGCTCAACTCGGCGTTCAGTGGCTGACGAGCCACCTCGAGGGCGCCAAAGGGCCGGGCTACATCGCGACCGCCAGCAGCGGCTCGGGCAGCACCGGCGGCTTCAATGTCCAGATCTTCAACGCCCTGGGCGGGCAGCGCCTGGCCATCGACGCACTCGCGAGCAACTCGCGCGCGACCATCCTGTCGAGCCCGCGCCTCATGGCGCGCAATGGCGAGACGGCGCTGATCCAGGTCGGTGACGAGGTGCCGGTGCTCAGTTCGCAGATCGGCACCAACACCGGCACCGCCGGCACGGCGGGCCAGCTGCTGGCGACCTACCAGTACCGCTCCACCGGCGTCATCCTGCGCATCAAGCCCGTCATCCACTCAGGTGACCAGATCGACATCGACCTGTCGCAGGAAGTGAGTCGGCCGGTGCAGACGACGGCGGGCAACTCCACCACGCCCACCATCTCGACGCGCAAGGTCGAGACCAAGCTGACGCTGCGCAATGGCTCGACCATGCTGCTGGCTGGCCTCATCGACGGCTCGGCCTCGGACGGCAACGGCGGCGTGCCGCTGCTCAAGGACATCCCGGTCGTGGGCAGCCTGTTCAAGAACCAGACGGTCAAGAAGTCGCGGCGCGAAATGATCATCCTGATCACGCCCTACATCGCCAACGATTCCACCGAGGCGGAGGCGATCACCGAGAGCTTCCGCAAGCAATTGGAGTGGGCTCGCCCGGCGGGGCCGGACAAGGGCGACGTCGCGCCGAAGCCATGAGCGCTGCCACGACTGCCTCCCCGCTCATCGGCGAGCTGCTGCTCGGCCGCGAGCACATCCGCGCCGACGACCTGAACGCCGCGCTGCGCTTCCAGGCGGAGCAGGG